CAAGAGGACCAAAGGAGAATGGGAAACACACCAGCGAGGCTTCAGACATCTTTTTCAGCAAAAGAATTGAAAATGTTTGTGACTACAAATGCGCTTTTCTCATCAGATGCCGCAGGTTTGGCAGCTGGGCAGTGTCTCAGCAGCAGGTCAAGGAGCCAACCATCAGCTGGGCCCTTCTCATTCAGCTGTGATACAACATTTGATACAACAGACCTGGGACAGCGAAGCATTGCACTGTAAATACCATTTCCTCCTGCTGCAAATGGCCAGCACGGTGCAACAGGCTAGCAGGAATCCATCTGAGGTGGAAATAATGTCACTGGCTAAATGTCAGCTGCACAGTCACCGTGAAAAGTGTCCCAGTGCCCTTTCCACAGCACAACCTTGGCTGACTGAACAGCTCACCCTACCCCAGCCCCTGTATAATGACCCCCATTTCTGATACCCTGCATAGCAGGGACCTTGTCACTGCCTCAACCACCAGAAAATCTTCTCAAAAGCACTCCAGGACAAGTCACAGCAACGTTGCCCTCACCCAAAGTGGCCTCCTCTGATGGTGCTTCTCGTGGTGCATTTGCTCACACAGAAGATCTGCGTGAACAAACACCACCAGAACACGGCTGAGGGAGGGCAGACTCTCTTTCCTGAGAGGCTTTTCTGCAAATACCAACCTCTCACTAGGCTTTAAGTTACATTTTAAGAATTAAAACTCTCCCCCTCATAAAAAAAAAATCCTGGGTTCTGGTTTTCCTGGACAGTGTCCAGGGGGTCTTCCAGCCAAAGCTGGAAGCATCAGGAGACAATAAAACACGGACACACACAAACCTCTGAGTGCTGTTTGTCACAGCAGAGCCCAGTTCTCCCCAGCCACCACCAGCAGCTTGCCAGGGTCATCTCCTGCCTATCCATAGGACTTGGAAGCTTTGGAGGATTTTCCATCTGGAGCACCACCCCCTGCACAAATAACTATTTGCTGTGTTCAGAGGGGAGATGGGAACACTGTGCAGGCTAATACACTATAACCAAATGCCTTCTCTGAATACAAGACAGCAGGGCAGGATTCAAGTTTGGGTCAACTTTTCCTTTACTTTCTAAAACTTGAGGGAAAAAAAAAATAATAATCTTTACAGCAAGAACACCAGTCTCAAATCCCACACCACAGATTGAGTTAGTTGTAGTTTGTCATCTTCTCCACTGCAGAAAACAAACCAGAGGATTATGACATCACTTCTCAGTCACATATGAACATTTGCACTGTAAAATGGCAGTTATTTGATCATTACAAGTTCCCAGTGGTGTCTTTGGAATAGGATTTCTTTGGTATAGGGACAGGAAACTAAATCCTTTAGTTTAAAATTCAGGGAAACACCTTTGATGGTAAAAGACTTCCCCCTGCACAACTGGCTTCAAAATAATCCTTTTCTTCGCTGGCAGCAGTTTGACAGAGCATTTCCACAGTACTGCCTGAATGTTAAATTACTACACCATTTCCTTGGTTTTACAGGACATTTCTCTGAAGGACTGCCTGCACTGTTTCCTTCAGCCAGCCAAACACATTATGATGAGATCTGCATTAGTTTCCAGGCACCCAGTTTCTGGTAAGTCCAGGCTGACTTATTCTTTATCCCAAGTTAATAACTCGGTACCTTCAGGAACTATCATCCACGATGCACTGTGATACGGGCAACACAAAAGGCTGTAGGTTTAGATATGTCCACACCACTGTGAGAACCTTGTTCCTGCAAGTTCAGACACTCAAAGAAAAAAAAAAACATATGATAAAAAAACCTTCAACACTACAAAGCACTGGGAGATGATGGCTTTGGTCAGCACCTTGTGCAACACATCAGAACTTTGATTTTAGACGATGTTTCTGGGGAGAAATTGTGCACTGGGGCCTTTTTAAACTGAGGTACCGGAAAGAGGCAGCGGCCTCAGCGTCACTGCTGGGATTCTGCTACACCAAGATTCAACCCTGCCAGGAATTCTTCACAGCGGGATCTGTTCAGCAGCTCCCTCAGCGATTCGTTCACGTCCTTGCTGAACACGGAGTCGAAGTTTCTGTTCACGCCCGCTTCGTTTTCCAGCTGAAAACCGCTCATTAAATCCTGTATCCACCTGAGTTCCTCTGAAAGTTCCTGCCTGAGGGATTCATACTGGCCCTGCAGGCTGGTGTATCTCCCAGCCACGCCCGTCAGACCGGCGTCCACAGCCTTGATCTCCTCCTGCAGGTGCCTCCTGAGGGACTCGATTTTCCGGCACTCGTACTTCAGCTGGGACAGCTTGTGCCTCACGCCCTCGCTCTCCTCTTTGTACCAAGCCTCCTTCTCGTTGTAGATGGAGAGCAGAGCGTCGACGTCCTCCTGCAGGGAGTCCCGGGCGGCGGCCAGGGCGCCGCAGCCGCGCTCCGTGCGGGAGATGCCCTCGACCACGCGCGCGAAGCGCTCGAAGTTGACGTAGGTGTTGTTGGGGGGCATGCTGGAGTGGCACTTGATGGTGTACTCCCTCAGCCGCTTGGCCTTCAGCTGGCTGCTCCCAACCTTCCTGTGCTCCTGCACTCGGGGCTCTTCTTCCAGCTGGGGGGTCAGTGGGACAGTGGAACCGGCGTTACTGAGCGCTCACAGGGCAGGGCAGGAGCTCACAACTCCACACAAAGGATGCGGCCTGGCCTGGCACAGTGCTGGGAGATGCTGTGCTCACACAGCCTGGCCTTCATGCACATCATCCTGTGCTCACACAGCCTGGCCTTCATGCACATCATCCTGTGCTCACACAGCCTGGCCTTCATGCACATCATCCTGTGCTCACACAGCCTGGCCTTCATGCACATCATCCTGTGCTCACACAGGCTTCATGCACATCATCCTGTGCTCACACAGCCTGGCCTTCATGCACATCATCCTGTGCTCACCCAGGCTTCATGCACATCATCCTGTGCTCACACAGCCTGGCCTTCATGCACATCATCCTGTGCTCACACAGCCTGGCCTTCATGCACATAATTAAGAGACAAAAACCAAAACCACACCAAAAACCCCAAAACCCCAAAAATGTGACAAGGGATGCGCATTCATTCCAGTGTGATAAGAGCAAATAACACGGCTGCAGCTTATTTTCATGTTAATTTTTAGCGGTTAATAGTCTCAAGCTGTCAATACTTGTGAGAGGAAAAACAACAACCCTAAAAAAGACCCCTCCAATTAAGGTTCTGTGCGACACAAAGCGAAAACTGAATTTCAAAAATCCTCGTTAGTCATGCTGAGATTAGCTAAATGTGTTTTCAATAAGAGACTTCTCCACACAAGCAGGCAGTGTTTATGATGAAAAATACATGTGGACACACAAATGTAAGCAAATCAGCACACGGGCTACAGCAGTTTTCTCTTGAGAAAAATCCATTTTCCACACTGACTGCAGTCAGCTCTCAGTTCAAGACAGCACTGAACCCAACACACACACTGCATGTCCATGCAAACGGAGAAGAAGGATGGAAAAATGCAAAGCCCAGTCCAGTCTGGGAGACTGTAAATGTGCAATAGAGATCAAAGCTTGGGCACCCTCTTTTGGAAAGTTATGCTGATAAAAGAAGCCATTTGCAGAAATCCAGGGATTTAGCCAGACCCAGCCAATTTGTTGCCAGGAGATCTCTTTGAGACACCCAGGGTCACTAAGCACTCGGGGGGGGCAGTTTTCCATGGAACACACCAGTAAGAGTGACAATCTGATCCCAGCTTTGCTCACAGCACAGACCAGGATCTGTTTGTTCCTCCGGTCTTACCGTTATCCAGGGATGAGACAGAGCTTCCTGAATCGTGAGCCTCTTCCTACAAAACATCAACACAAACAATCCCACAGACTCCAATGAGAAATTCCTGGGACACAAGCCCACTGACCCACCCTTCTCCCGGGCTTCCTATGGAGCATTTATCAGGATAATGGCAGGACAACTGTCAAATGTCAACTTTCTCCCCCGGTGAAGCCACAAGAAAGGACCACAATGGTCTGATTTCCCTCCAGGACAAAGTTGCAGGGAAGGAGATGCTACTTCTGCATGAGCTTTAAAGTTCCTCTGAGCTGGGAATAAAGATCTGCAGAGCTGTCACAAACTCCAGGTGACTGCAGACAGACTTAAAGCAATCCCTTAGCAGCACATGGAAAGATTTTTCTGCTGTGGCACCACTAGGGGCATATTGTGGGATGGTATCACCTCCTTGTGAGTGGTTCAGTGGGAGTTACCCTGAACTCGAGATTCTGCCCACCATTCTCAGCTCTTCAGCCCCACCCTGTCGTACCAGCTGGGCTCAGGTGAGAATTCAGCCCTGAATATGAAATTTAGCTGAGGAGATTTGGTTCCTTAGGGTTTCTGGGGCAGTGATTAATTAGGGGAAGCATCCCCTGCCTTGCTCTGAATGGCAATGCATCTGCAAGGCAAGCTTTGCACACACCTCACCAGGTTTATTTGAGAGACAAATGTATCTTCCTGGATTTTTCTGGATTTTTTTCTTACCGTGTGTCTTTCACCAGAAGCTTCTGAATGAAATCTTTGGCCAGGTCACTGGTATTGCTGAAAAATTCTTCATCAAAGTCGTAATTCACGGCTGTGATGTTGGCAAGCGTTTCTTGTTTGGTTTCTCCCAGGAAAGGTGATGCACCGCTAAGCCTGGATGAGCCAGAAGGAAGAATCAGCTGGAAAAATTAAACTGCACAAGTCCCCCGGTGAAGTGACAGTGACTGTGTAATACACTCTTGGGGCGTTTGTGGCTCTGGTGCTTCTTTTCTCTCTGCAAAGCTACTGATAAGTTCCCTGCACACCAGATTCGGCCAAGAGCCCTTTCTCAGCTGGATCCACAACACAGGGTGTGATCAGAAGCCTTGCCCAGGGTCAGCTCCCCTGGAGAGGCAGGGCCAAGCTGCTCAGTCAAAGGAATCCACAGACAAAAGGACTTTGGCTGTAGTAAAATCCAGCAGTTTCTGACCAACACAAATGTTCATTCTCTTGGCACCCTGCTCCAGCTGCAAGGGTATAATGGAGACACCATCAGAATAACAATGCCATTTAGCAGTCCTTACTGGAGGGAAAGCTTTCCTCCTGCTTTGCTTATCTATGAGCTGGCAGGGTTGATCTTCATCTTGATGGCTCTATTTACCATTGCTCCATAAAACTGGAGTGTCAGAGCAGAGTGACTGCAGGCTCCTCCTGCCCTGCCTCTCCTGCAGGTTCCTCCCTCCCCAGCACACAGGGATGCCGACTTGCCAAGCTCTAATTTACAGGAAATGTTATTTATACCAAGGCAATTGATCTCATCCCTTTTTTATCGTCTTCTGGGATATTGTTGTGCTTCTCTGTTATGCCCAGCTTTGACAGCACAGTTTCAGGATGCAGCAGGCTTAAAGAAAAAAAACAGGACTGCAGCAAACTCCTGGGATCTAAATTGAAGTTTTGAGAACCAAATCATTTGTTTACACAATCCTGCTCAACAGACCTTTTACTCTGCACTGCCACTACCACGCTGACTGGGAATTTTGGGGGGCAGGCAGAAAGTTAGATGGCACCACCTGGCCTTTTAAGTCAATCTCCAGCTACCACACGTGGTTTTACCCACAGAATAAAAATTTGAGTGCATAAACTGCTTCCTCTCTCTCTCTATAATCACACAGTGACACCAAGGCCTCTGACACAGCGAGGCAGCACCAGTGAGGGATGCTCCAGCTGTCTCTGGTGAAGTGAATGTCATGCCATTAACCACAGTCACTCTCACTTGTGAGCAGCTTTCACATCCTCCCTTTCAGGCTTTTGTTCCATTTCTGCTGCCCCCAAAGAAGGCCACCAGCAGGCACCTCACCACACACCATGGGCATTGTTCCAAAAATAAAACCTGCCCTAGGGCCTTGGTTTCTTTGCCCTCTCCCCAAACTCTGCTGTGAAGGAGCTCTAATTCCACCTTCTGGCCCTTTGCTGGAAGCCAAAACCAGCAGTGCTCTACTCTGATTTTTTTTTTGCTCTTTGGGACCCAGTTTTGGAGATCTGTAAAACCAGAGGATTCCCAAGTGATAATATCTATGGAAATGACTTTTGTCATATCCTGACTCAGGGCCTGTAAACAGGTAGGTAACAGCAGACAGACCTCAGCACTAAAGCCCAGTGAATCACTCCAGCGGTCACTGAATTGAGGGCTGGGCTGCATTTTGGTCTCTACACCTGATAATGGCACCCATTTGATGATGGCACCCATTTGATGATGATGGCACCCATTTGATTGCTGCCACGTTTGCTAAAGCAGGATCATAAACACACCCTGCTTATTCAGAACAATTCAGAACAAGAGGCTTTCAAATTAACAAGTGATACTACTTAGAGAATCACAGGATCAGTCACGTTGGAAAAGACCTCTGAGATCATCAAGTCCAACCTTTGACCCAACACCACCCTGTCACCCAGCCCATGGCACTGATGCCACATCCAGTCTGTCCTTAAACACCTCCAGGGACGGGGAATCCACCCCCTCCTTGGGCAGCCCATTCCAAGGGCTGAGTACTCTCTCTGGAAAGAATTTCTTCCTGATATCCAACCCAAACCTCCCCTGGCACAGCTCCAGACCGAGCCCTCTTGTCCTACTGCTGGTTCCTGGGAGAAGGGACCAATCCCCACCTGGCTCCAACCTCCTGGCAGGGAGTTGTAGAGAGTGCTGAGGTCTCCCCTGAGCCTCCTCCTCTCCAGGCTGAGCCCCCCCAGCTCCCTCAGCCTCTCCTCACAGCACTTGTGTTCCAGTCCCTTCCCCAGCTCTGTTCCCTTCTCTGTCCCTGCTCCAGCCCCTCCATGTCCTTCCTGAGCTGAGGGCCCAGAGCTGGACACGGCACTCCAGGGGTGGCCTCACCAGCGCTGAGTGCAGGGCAAGAATCACCTCCCTGCTCCTGCTGCCACACCATTCCTGAGCCAGGCCAGGATCCCTTGGCCCTCTTGGCCACCTGGGCTCATGTTCAGCCTCCTGTCAATCAGCTCCCCCAGGTTCAGTCACACAGTTGAAGGCAATCAAATTCCTACTCCACAGCTAATGGTGCAAGCTGCCCCCTCCCACAACACCAGAGCATGTTCTTTACTGCTGATCATTTGCAGGGAGACGTTTTTCTACCTTAATCCCCGTGGCCATGACGAGCAGCCAAGCAGGTAAAACATCTCCTGCACTGGATGCAGCACAGAAACCCCCCTGGAACTCTGCCCCAGCACAGAACCCTCAAGGCAACTGTGAGACCCCCCCAGAGCAGCTGGCTCTATGCATCGCTCATGGCATGCCAAGCATTCCCACCTGCTTATCCTCAACTCCTAAGTTTTCCTCTCATCATCTGTGGACACACCCATAAATAGAATTTAAGCAGTTTAATGCCCTGGCAAGTACAGGTTTGTCACTGGAGATCAGAATGCTGATAAAAAACAAGGATCTGGACAATATTTCAAGCCTGTTTCCCTGAGTTCAACCAGTATTCCCCCCTTTTTGTGCACTGCAGGACAGAGGGAATTTGTTGCGCTGCATCTGATTTCAGTGGAAGCAGTTGGTCCAATTCCCACATCAAACCAGAGGAAAAGCAAGGAGTGCTGTCCCTTTGTCACACAATCAGGTCCCCAAACTGTCAAGCTCCATCTTCAAACTCTTCACTGCTTGTCCCCAGATGCCCACACAGACTCGTTTCTTTGAGAGCCTGAGCTTGTCAGAATTCCCTCCTTTTATTTATTCATCACCAGCTGACACACTTTCCTTCTAAAGAGTAGCTGTGCCTAAAAAGCATTCTGTGATCTCTTTTTCTCCCCGTGCTCACTGACTATAATGCTAACCCCAAACAGCCTTTGCTTTCCCAGCTTTAACAAACCCCTTTTTTTGCCCTGCAAGTTGAATTCTCAGCTCCCAGGGTCAGCTTTCCTGCTCTTTTTCCAGCTTAAGCTCACCTTTTTGAACATGGGCGACCATATTTATGCATAATAACCTAGACTGGTGCTAGACAGGCAATCTGAAGCCTCCCTGTTTTTTTCCAGTTGAAGTGACACACCTTGTCAGGGGTGCTGTTACACTTTCTCTGCTAGCTCAGTCATCCTACCAGCAATGGATGTGCTTGGCTTTCCCATCCTCTGCCATTTGGAGCTGATGAGATCCCAGGGGGAAGCAGAAATGCCCAGGGGGTGCCAGGGGACATCTGCTCTGGGTTTGCTCAGGATGCCCCCCTACTTTTAGCCCTTATTTTTAGGTTGGGTAACACCACAGAGTGAAGCAGTGCCCACCCCCTGTGTGCTGGTCTGTCCTCGGGTGGCTGCAGGAGGAGCTGTCCTGCACTAAAGCAACATTTCTGCTGCAGCAAAGCTGTTGTACTCACAGGATGTAGGTGATGACTCCTATGCTCCTAAAAAACAAAAAGGAGACGAGTGGCAAGGGTTAACACGTGACCTGTGCTCTTCCTGATGTTCAGAACATGAAAAAAGGGAACAGCAGCTGCAGTGCAGGCAGGGGAGCCACTGTGGCAAACACTTAACTCTGGAACCGCCACCCCTCAAGCTTCTCATTGTCGTTTTGCAGAAATTAAATGCTCATCTTTCCATTTCAAAGGATGCATAAAAATGGAATGACAGAACATGGAGTTACTAGCTTTGTTTAGGTTTTTTGTTTCAGTTTGTGGCAGCGCAATGAATTCTACTCAAGTAGGGAAAAAGTAATTGTAGAGAAACCTGGGGGAAAAAATTACAAATATTCTAAAAAAAACTTACCACATATCTGCAGCTAATCCAAGTGGTTCATAGTTTACAATTTCTGGAGCTGTAAGAAACGTTTAATTAACCATCAGCAACGAAGTAACACATTTTTACCAGGCTGGAGTAGCAGGACAAGAATTACCAGGAGGGAGAAAGGGGGGCAGAGAGAAAAGTTACTTCTAGGATGCATTATTTGTAATTTTATAGCCCAACCAGGAGTTCAAGTTCACAGCTGTCCAAAAGAGATTATGTAGGGCGACTTAGAGCTTAGTGCAACTCAAAAACAAGGGTAAAGCAGGTATTACACACTATTTACAGTGCAAATTACAACAAATAACAAATGATTTCACGTCCCAAGAACATTGCTGCCCCCAAGAATCAGAGCTTTTGTTTGGTTTTGTGTTGAGCTGGTGCCATCACAGCAAGTTTGGAAAGGCCAGTCAGGAAGAGCCCTCGAGCAAGAGCTGGAAATGATTTGTCAGACTACACTGCTATCCATGTCCAGCTGTTATCTTTATAGGAAACATTTCCTCACTGGAAAACATCCCACACAACACTGCAAGCAGGAGAAAGGGGGAGATGAGGTGAGAAAAAGGTATCTGTAACAATTGTCTTGAACTGGAGTATTAATTACAGTTCTCTCCCCGCTCCCAAACCAACCCTGAAACCCCCTAATTGAAACTGGGAGAAAGGAGTAGGATTAACCCAAAATCCAAGTGAGGCAGGTTAGAATTGTGATCAGGGAGGAACAGGAAGAATCAGGCGGTAAAATGAGAGGGGAGGGGAGGGTTTTGTACTCAGCAGGTGACCAGTGTGAGGCATTTGAATCCGGAAAGCAATGACAGAGGTGCCCATGTCCCTGTGCCCTCACACACCACAGCACAGGGACAGTTACTTACTCCAGGCAACAAGGAAAGAAATGATCGTTTACATTTGCAGAGTTTCACAACCTCTGTCCTGAACTTGCATCTCTTTAAGCATTTATTTGGCAGCAGTTCCCTCTCACAGCAGCAGCACACCTGGTTTACAGGGAGCACCTTTCACCTATCCCAGAAAAATAAAGCAAACCTCCAGATTTAAGTCACCTGAGGAGAAAGGAGATGTCTCAGCTTCCTCATGTCATGCAAGACAAAGGAACATGTCACTCACCCACGAATTCTGGAGTTCCAAAAATGTTTTTAAACTCGACTCCATCTTCTATTTTGTGAGCCAGGCCAAAGTCAATGAGCTTGATGTGTGGAACTGGGATATTCTTGTCTAGAAGCATAATGTTTTCAGGCTAAAAATAACAAAAGACGGATCTATGTTATTAAAATATTAATATCTTGGAAAGTAACCGAGTTTTCAAGTTGTGTTTTTTTTTTTCCCTTTGCAAACACAATCCTGTAGAACAAGAAACAAGAAACACATTTATGATGGTTCTGATGAAGGGATGACAGTGAAATCTGTGAAATCTTGAGGGATTCGAGCCACATCTGGACCCATTTAGGGAAGGAAAAGGATCTCCTCTGTGAGACAATTCACAGCTGCAACAAGGCCAGGGAGATCTGGGATTTACCAGCTGAACAGCCCAGAAAATGGGCAGGGTTGGGATCAGAGGTCCTGGACCATATGATAGCAAGCTATTAAAAGAATGTTCCTCACAGCATTGTAGGGAAAAGCTGGAGCTGGAACTGTGAAATTAAAACCGGCATCTTCAACCACAGACTTCACTCTTTTCCCAGATTTAAGGGAAATTCCACAAACTTCTTTCTTGAACTGAATTTCTCAGCCTTATCTGCTCCCTTCCACGGCCCCAATTCACAGGGTTCAGAGTAAACTCCAGGTCCAATTTATCTCCCATGAAGAGCTTTCATGGCATTAATTTGCCATAACTTAATCATAAGCTTAGGAGCAGCAGTGAGAGAGTTTGATTCCCTGCTGGCCTTTCCACAGCAGATCCCAGCATGGAAATTGCTCGTGCTAACACACATTCTCAGTCAGAGCTGCACTGGGAGAGACAGCACGTGAATAATTTATTATCATCATCTTAGACCAGGAATGTTTTAGCCTCAGGCTACCGAGTCAGGTTTTTTTTCCCATGGATTTAGGGCACATGTGTTCACCTCAGATACAGGATGTAAGGTTCCTAAAGCAGCCAGAACAGGCTGAAGTGGCAAAGCCACAGTCACACCTCTGGGACTGGTTGATTCCTTAGGTGGCGAAAGGCACTGCAGCTCCACTGCAGCTGATGGAGCCCACTCAAGTGAGGAGATGATGTTTTAATCATCCTCTGTCTAATCAGATCACTGCTTAAAAACACATGTCTGATTTAACACCACAAAACTCCAAACCCAGTCCTTTAAAACCCAGGAGAGAGTTATTGTGTGAATACATTTTAGGTCACTTGACATTCACCATTCTTTATTTATGCCTTCTGATTTCTATCTTGCATGTCTTGCAACATCTTCACCGACCACAGGACCTTACTGGCACTAAATATCAGAATTAGCAAGTAGAGATCAGCTGAAGTCTAAACCAGCACCTTTACCTTTAAATCAAAGTGAGCAATTTTCTTGGAGTGAAGGTAATTCACGCCGTCCAAGATCTGCTTGATGAACCTGGTTGCTTCCTCCTCACTCAAAGACTCCTTCTGTGCCAGGAAGTCAAAAAGTTCTCCTCCAGAAACCCTGCAAAGCACACCAGCAAATATGCTGTTATCTGCTGCATTGTAACACATAAAATAAAGGTAAGCACAGAAAATGAAAGCAGCCAAGAACCTCGAGGCAGTCAGGAAAAGGCCACCCTTGCAGACAATCCTGGGCTTTGTGTTCTGCTCCCAGGTGTGCCGAAACTTCCTTCTGGCTTCAGCTCTCTCCCCTGGAAATTAAGGACCAGCTTTTCCATAAGGTTTGATTCACCAAGGATCACACAGCACCCAAAAAGTCACGTTATTCGATGAATTCACAGGCACTTCCCATTTCAACAGGTCGATTTAACCACTTCAACTGCTACTCTTCAACGTTTTCATTCGAATCCCTTTCCTTTGCAGGACAGCCATTCCCCTGTTCTCACACACCTGACACAGCTGACAGGAAAGCATTTATTTGCTGCTGGATTGTTAAGAAGAGAGCAGATTTCAGCAGGCTGGAAGGCACCTAAAATTGCTTTCCCAAATCAAGCAAGTGCTCTTAGTTACTACGAGTTTTCACATCGAAACTGGAATATTGTACTTGTGCCTTGTACTGAGAGTTCCACTGCTATTTTTCTATATATTATGAAACAAGATGATCTCAATATTGAATTTGTTTTCACCTGCTCTTCATAATTACGCTTACATTTATTGTTTCCAGTTCGTGCTGTCATTAACATTATTGGTTTATTCTCATTTCAATTTACCCACAAAGCAGCTGTTGCTCTTGGTACAGGTGGCCACCCACCCGGCAGACTCACACAGAAGTCACTTGGTGTTTTAATTGTTACAACTCAAACCAAAATGAGCTTACACAATCCAGGAATAAATACACTGCAAGTGCTGTCTTTGGCTGCCACCTTCTCCTCCCTGTTCACCTCAGTTACTCAGCCTGGGAGGCTCTTCCTGGATCTCTGGTTTTCTTTTTGAGGTGACACGCCCCAAGGGTCTCAGCACTAATTTCAGCCTGGCTGGAAGGGTTTTGGTGCAGCCCGTGCAGTTCAGGAGGAAGGGAACACTCTCTCCTTTCCACACTGTAGGAGGTTTAGGGCTCTTGGTTCATTAATCTAAAAATTATTACATCCTACTGTGACAAACCAGCAAGGAAATGTGTGAGGAAACCCTGGTGGTGTCTGGGTGCAATCTGTGGGCACTGAGCAGGGGAAGTTCATTTTCTCCACCATTTCTATTCCAAGTGCACTTGGGCAATCCCCCCTGGCAGACTCTGCATCCGGCCATCAGCCAGCCACCTGGGCTGGCACAGCTCTGCTGCTTGTCTGGAGCCCAACCATGCAGCCACACTGCTCTCTCTTCCTCTTTCACTCCGGGAAACCTCCCTGCTGATTGTTTCTTTGGCTGGACTCAGAACTGAGAAGCTCTCTCTGAGCCCACACGCTCCAGTCCTTCAGGACAGGCAAAAGCAGGTGCCACTTCAGGAGAAGCTGAGCCACTTGGCAAAGTGCCCCTGCTCACCTCTCCCTGGCACAGAGGACACCCTCCTCTTGCAGGAGACTGGCAACTTTCTTGTGAGGAATCTCCTCTGCTACACAAAGCAGTGTCAGAAAAACAGTTCAGCTGCCCAGACTGCAGGTCCCTTCATTCCCTTTCTCTCTTGGTGCCCCCGAGAGCGGTCACTTAAACCAGCTGGGTTGGTTGCTCAGGGCACACCAGGAATTTTTTTCCCCAGTGGAAACCTCACCAACGTCCTGAGCAACCAGCCCCAGGCACCCCAAAGAGAAAGTGCAGCCTGCAAGAGGGGAGGTCACAGGGGATTTACTTGGGAGCTCCTTGATGGATTTTCCCACTGCCCTCCAGCTCACACTAACCTCGAGTCAGGCCAGAGAAGGGGCTTTCCAAGGTACAGGACACAACATGAACAATTAAACAGGAAGCAGCAAGGAAAGATCCAGGGAGTTTGAAGTCCCTTTACCAGCAAAAGACTCCCTCCTACAAAAACCCATCTCATTTTCTGAAGGTCAGAGATTGGCAAACATGACAATCTCCAGTCTCTAACACATCAGCCTAAGCTGTAGAGATCTTAAGAGAGCAATCTAAGGGAAAATTCAGTAGAGGAGATGTGATGATTTCTCAGTAACAAAAGACTCAGGCTTTAAAACCAGGTTTGAGTAAATTGTAGCTAGAGAGTGGTGAGTGGTTTGGTGCAGGATCATTCTTATCCATGTTTGCACCTGAACTCAGAGAAACCCTTGAGCAGAAGAGATTCAGCAATCCCAAAAGCCAGTTATTATGGAATCACAGAAAAAAAACCAATCAACCAAACACTTTAGCACTAATTTCCTTTGCAGTACAACACTCATAACTGCACTACGAGTCACATTTGAACATCCAAGGAGGATGAATATCACCACCTGCAAATGCTCCTTTCTCAAAGGTCACAGAGAATTTCCTTCCTCTTTCCCTTCCACCAGGTCACCTTATTGCCAGGGCAAGGGAGAGAGAAAATGAGACCTTTTACTGGACTTGGAAGGAAAAGCAAAGACAAACAGCAACACTGATTGCTTGGCAGGAGCTGCTTTGTGTCCACAGCCCTGACACTTCCCAGTGGAGGAGCCTGGGGCACCCATCAAACCTGCCTCAGGTTATTCCTATGTGGGCAGAGCAGGCTCCAGGCAGGGCAGGACGCACAGAAAAGTCACAGAGAGCTGCGGGGAGGAAATGCCTGAGCAGTGAGCACAAGGAAGGACACACTGAGCACCTGCCACGCTGCTCCTCCTGCTCCTGGACAGGACAAACAGCACCTGTGGGAGCAGCCCCTGGGTGAGGAGGGGACAGTCTCGCCTGTGCCAAGCACAGGGAGGTTGGGAAATGGTTGACATTTCGGACAAAGCCTCTTTTAAACCCCAGAGCAGCTTCTTCAATTAACCAACAACACTGGGGACATTCTTTTGAAGCTGAAGTCCACTGTAGATTAGCAGAAGAGTGGTTGGCCAGGTGCTGTAACCTTACCTTGATAAACTGCAGGGAGCATGAGACAGAGCAGAGTGTCAGAGGGGAAGAGATCATCTGTTTACAGGGAGAATTTAATTACCTTTATTAGCAATTCTCCTCATCCTCAATTTGTACACAGCAGCTGAATGCAGAGGCCTTAATCAGGTCAAAACTCTGCTGCAGCCAGACTTTGTGCAGCATGTTAGAGCCTGACAAAAGGACACACAGAACATGTCAGGGCATGTGAGGACAGCAAAAAGCAGAAGGGAATGAAATGGGAGGTTGTTTTAGCCCAAAGTGGCCACCAGTCAGGAAAAGCAAGTTCCTTTCCTGCCTTCCAGAGCATGGCTGCAGAGATCAATGTTTGACACAGAAGTCAAAGTTAACAGATGCTCATCATCACTCATACGCCACCCTCCAGCAGTCACAGTAATCTCCAGGAATGCTCCCTGGCCTGAATGCTGGCTCCCCTAGAAAGCTAGTGGTTACTTCACCTCACCCAGGGAGGAGAGCCTTGCTGCCTGGATTCCACGCCCAAGGTCAAGGCTGGTTCCCCAGGGAACAGACGGTCTACATGGCTTCAGCCCCGGTGACTGTGGATCCCGTGGCTCACACACACTGAAAAATTGCATCATTTTGCGTGGTGGGGTGAGGCTACAGCAGCCCACAGGTTCACCTGTCAGCAGGACCTAAAGGGCAGGGGTTTGCCCCCCTCACATGGTGGCACGAGAGAGGAGTAAGCAGCTCTGCTTCCCTCCCATCCTGCTGCTATTCATCCTCCACAGTCAAAGCTGAGGGATTAAAAAAGCTCTTCCCTTGCCTCCTCTTTTCCCTTAGCTCATCTACATGAGGAAAACACGGGAGCAGTGAGAATGGCTGCAGGTTTTGCACAGGGTCTGACGGCCTCACACGTGTGAGAGCAGGAGGGAAAATGAAATGAGCATTCAGTGGCTGCTTGCACTTCCTCCAAGGTTCACGTCAGGGCAGCAGGAGGCCGACATGAGGTAATCCCCCTGTTAGTAAACTGTTTTCAAGTTGCCAGCACTCCCTGGCTCGGTGTCAAGTGACCTCAGCTGCCATTAAGGTACACCTGTATCCCCAGGGCACAGGGACGAACTGGGGGGGGGGGGGG